GCGATGCTGCTGCACGTCTTGCTGTGCGTCGCCACTTGCCCACCACTGAGCGCGTGCACTTTAGTAAGTACAAGAGTGCTAAGACCTTGTACGACGCTGTAGTTGCGCGCTACTCTTCCCCTGCCACTGCTGCACTGAGCCGTCTCATGCTACCGTACCTCTTTCCTGATCTCACTGCCTTTCCCACAGTCGCTGACCTCATTACGCACCTCCGCACTAGTGACACTCCCTACCGCTCTGCCCTTCCAGCTGAGTTCTGCGCCAAGAACCCCCCCCTCATGTACATCGCTCTCTATTACATAGTCACTCGCCTCCCTGACTCCCTTCGCGTAGTCAGGGACCAGTTCCTCTCAGTCTGTCCCACCACCCTCACGGTCGACCTCCTCGAGAAGGCCCTCCTAGCGGCGGAGAAGAGTATAGTCGTTGTAGGAGCCTCTCGTGGTGGCCCGCGCACCCCCATCTTTGAGGGGTGTTCTCCTTCCCCCCTGCTGCCCTCTGTTGCCTCTTCTGCTGCTGCCGACCTGCTTGGTCTTGAGTCGGTCGGCGCGGCGTGTGCCCCTAGCGGGAGACGCCGCCCTGGCAAGGGCAAGAGGGGCAAGGGCGCGGGTGGAGCTGGCGGGGGCGGTGGAGGTGGCGGTGGAGGCGGCGGAGGGAGTGGGGGTGGCAGTGGGAGTGGTGACGGGAGTGGTGGCGGTGGCGGCGGCAGTGGCGGCGGAGGTGGTGGCGGCGGAGGCGGTGGGAGCGGAGGCGGTAGCGGTGGCGGAGGTGGAGGCGGTAGTGGCGAAGGAGGTGGAGCCGGTCGGGGTAGTGCCCCGCAGAGGAGCGGCTCTAGTGGTGGTCCGCGGCAGCAGCAGCAGCAGCAGCAGCAGCGTGCTCGGGACGTCCCCACGCCTCAACAGCTCCATGAGTGGTACACGCAGAGTCAGCGTGGTGGAGGCTTTAGCCCGTGCACCTACGTTCTTCGCAGCGGCGACCGCGCGGGTGAGCAGTGTGGGGGTGCCCACTCCACCCGGCGCTGCTTTGGCCGCCTGACGGATGCTTGGCATCAGCAGTTCCCTGACGCTTCTGAGATCCCCCGCTGGGGAGACCTTTCTAGAGCTGGTGTAGCCATCTTTGAGCTAGACTTTGATGCTATCCTTGCTGCCATGTATGCTGTGTCTATTAGTGATGAGGGTGACTGTTACCGGTGTTTCCCGCCCGACCCGGGCATTGGTACGAATGCGCTAGGTGCGTGTGACACTACTGCGCTCTCAGGTGCTGGTGAGGCTGCGCTCTCAGGTACTGATGAGGCCGCGCTCTCAGGTACTGGTGAGGCTGCGCTCTTAGGTACCACGTTGGCTTCGGCCTCCCTCACCTTTACACTTGACTGTGGGGCTTCTCGCTCCTTCTTTCGGGACCGCACCACACTCACGCCGCTTGGCCGGCCGGTTGCGGTCTCCCAAGCTGACCCCTCTGGGGGTCCTGTCCTCTCTCACTTCTCCACTGTCCTACCGTGTCCAGCTGCCCCCTTGGGCGTCCCGTCTGGTCTGTACCTCCCCTCGTTCTCAACAAACTTGGTGAGTGGTGCTGCCCTAAAGGATGCGGGGGTTCATCAATTTACTCTTGCGAGTCAGCGGGTGACCCACTGCACGGACGCGCGCACAGGTCGGCACCTGGCCATGTGCTCCCGCCGGCCGGGGTCGAGCCTCTACACCCTGACCACTGAGTCTCCTCCTGTCCCTGTGTCTGGCCAGGTAGCTGCGTCGGGTCAGGTGTTTGCTGCTGCGTCCAGGTCTGGTCCTGAGTCTGCCCCCTGCTCGTGTCGCCTCTTGTCTCACGAGACTCTCCTGTGGCACCACCGTCTTGGCCACCCCTCCTTGCCTCGTCTCAGGGACATGGCTTCCCGTGTCCTTGTCTCTGGTCTTCCCAGGTCTCTCCCTCCCCTTCCTTCGGGGCCAGGAACTTCCTGTGTCCCTTGTGTCGAGGGGCGCCTCCGGGCTGCCCCCCACTCCTCACAGTTTCCTCCGACAGAGGCCCCTCTGCAGACGCTTCACATGGACGTGTGGGGCCCGGCCCACGTCCGTGGACAGGGTCACGAGCGCTACTTTCTGCTGGTGGTTGACGACTACTCGCGTTTCACCACAGTCTTCCCCTTGCGCAGCAAGGGTGATGTCACTGCGGTGTTGATCGACTGGATCCGCGCAGCTCGTCTCCAGCTCAGGAGGAGCTTCGGCTCGGACTTTCCTGTTATGCGTCTGCACTCTGACCGAGGCGGCGAGTTTTCCTCTGGCCTTCAGGGTGAAGCGGCTGCCTTGCTCTCCACCTGTCTTCAAGGCGCGGTACGTTGCTCGTGGCTTCAGTCAGCGGCAGGGAGTTGACTACTTTTAGACCTTCTCTCCCACCCCGAAGATGACTACTCTTCGGGTGCTGCTGCACATAGCCGCACAGCGTGACTACGAGCTTCACTCTCTTGACTTCAGCACTGCTTTCTTGCAGGGCAGCCTGCACGAGGAGATCTGGCTGCATCGTCCGCCTGGCTTCACTGGGACTTTCCCTCCTTGCACCCAGTGGAGCCTCCGACGGCCAGTCTACTGTCTCCGCCAGGCACCGCGTGAGTGGCACGACACACTGAGGACTACGCTTGCGGCTCTTGGGTTTGCTCCCTCTACTGCTGACCTGTCGTTGTTTCTACGCACCGACACTTCTCTGCCGCCGTTCTACATCCTCGTGTACGTCGACGACTTGGTCATTGCCACTGCCGACACTGCTGGACTCGCCTACGTGAAGTCCGAGTTGCAGAAGAGACACACGTGCACAGACCTGGGTGAACTTCGCAGCTACCTTGGCTTGCAGATCACTCGGGACAGAGCACGCCTCACCATTACCTTGACTCAGTCACACATGGTGCAGCAGGTCCTTCAGCGCTTCGGCTTCACGTACTCCTTGCCTCAGGCCACTCCTTTGTCTACTCGCCACTCGCTCTCAGCTCTGCCTTTGGATGAGTCCGTTGAGTCGAGTGGCCCGTACCCAGAGCTTGTTGGCTGCCTCATGTACCTGATGACCTGCACACGACCTGACCTTGCATACCCTCTTAGCATTCTTGCACGCTATGTTGCTCCTGGGAGACACCGACCAGAGCACATGGCTGCAGCGAAGAGGGTGTTGCGCTACTTGTGCAGTACGTCAGGCATGGGGCTAGTGCTTGGAGGGCGGAGTCCAGTGGTCCTCACTGGTCACGCGGACGCTTCTTGGGCTGATGACCAGGCTACGCAGCGGTCGTCGCAGGGGTACACCTTCTGTCTTGGTTCTGGCTCTGTTTCTTGGCGGGCTACTCGCTCGTCTTCTGTTCTCGGGTCCAGCTGTGAGGCTGAGATCTACGCTGGGGCCATGGCTGCACAGGAGCTTCGCTGGCTCACCTACCTGCTGACTGACCTTGGAGAGCCGCCTCGTTCTCCTCCAGTGCTGTACGTAGACAACAAGGCCATGCTGGCCTTGTGTCGAGAGCAGCGCTTGGAGCACAGAACGAAGCACATTGCTCTCCATTACTTCCTTGCTCGTGAGCTGCAGCAGCGTGGTCAGTTGCGACTTGCATACGTGGCCTCTGGGGCCAACACTGCTGATGTTTTCACCAAGGCACTTCCGCCTTGTGATCATCAGCGCTTCTGCACTCAGCTGGGACTTGTACCTGTCCTACCTCACTTGCTCACCTCTTGACCTTGCTTGTACTCTTGCGTATATATATATACCTGCTCTTGCTTGTTTAGCCTTATATATATATGTCTCCTCTTGCATGTGAACTGGCCTTGTGGCCTTGACCTTGTGCTCGGACTGTGTGGTGACTTTGTGATCCACCCTGAGCTTTGCTTTGCTCTACTTGACTGGTCTTGTGACCCCTTGTTCTCCCCCACTTTGCCTATGGGGGTGTGTCAGAACATATAGCTTATGCTTTTGTGTAGGCTATAGTGGGGTATCCCATAGGGGGTACAACCCAATTAGGGTTGGTACTTGTACTCACACATTTCATAGTTCATCCATTCACCTTCCGATTCTCACACCGTCGGCCCCGCTTGGGCCCCGTCGGCCCCGCTACAGCCCCGCCTAAGCCCCGCTACGGCCTCGATTGGCCCCGCTTAGGCCCTGTCGGCCCCGTTGCGGCCCCGCTTAGGCCTCGTCGGCCCCACTTAGGCCCCGTTGCGGCCCGCTACAGCCCCGCTACGGCCCCGTCGGCCCCGCTACGGCCCCACTAAGGCCCCGTCGGCCCCACTTCAGCCCCGCTGCGGCCCCGCTGCAGCCCCGCTATGGCCCCGTCGGCCCTGCTACGGCCCCGCTAAGGCCCCGTCGGCCCCACATAGGCCCCGTTGCGGCCCTGCTACAGTGCCGCTACGGCCCCATCGGCCCTGCTACGACCCGGCTAAGGCCCCGTCGGCCCCACTTCGGCCCCGCTATAGCCCTGCTACGGCCTCGTCAGCCCCGTTACGGCCCCGCTCAGGCCCCGTCAGCCCCACTTTGGCCCCACTGCGGCCCCCACTACGGCCCCGCTATGGCCCCTTCCACCCCGTCGGCCCCGCTACGGCCCCACTTTGGCCCCATCGGCCCCTCTTAGGCCTCACTACAGCCCCTCTTCGGCCCCTGCTACGGCCCCGTCCCGTCGCCACCACGCCCCTCCCACCCTTGCGATCAGCCGCCATCTGCGACCCCGCCGCCCAGCGCCCGCAGCACCGAGCAGCTGAGCCGCCCGACCGCCCGAGTCGCCCAGCAACCAAGCCGCTAGGCAGCCGAGCCGCCCAGCAGCCGAGCCGCCCGACAACCGAGCCGCCTGACAGCGAAGCCGCCCGATAGACGAGCCGCCCAGCACTGTGCAGCCGTGCCGCTTAGCAGCCGAGCCGCCCAGCACCGTGCAGCCGAGCCGCCCAGCAGCCGAGCCGCCCTGCAGTCGAGCCGCCGAGCAGCCCGATCGCCCCACCTGTCTAGTAAGAGCCCAGTCTTTGCCTCACAGCGCTCACTGCCTGCCTACTGCTCTTATGGCTTCCCCTAGCGTTCTCACTTTTGACGGTGAGGGTCAGGCAGTGGACTTTGAGGTCTGGGTAGATGATCTATAGCTTTTTCTGTAGAGCGATAGGGCAGACGGCCTCTCCCTGTTTGACCTCACTTCTGGTGCCTCCCCTGCCCCTACTGCTGATGCTGACGCCACTGTTTGCTCACAGTGGGCCACACGTGATGCTGCTGCTCGCCTTGCTGTTGGCCGCCACTTACCGACCACTGAGCGTGCACACTTTAGCCAGTACAAGAGTGCTCAGACCTTGTACGACGCTGTAGTTGCACGCTACTCTTCCCTTGCCACTACTGCACTGAGCCGCCTCATGCTTCCCTTCCTCTTCCCTGACCTTGCTGCCTTTCCCACTGTTGCTGACCTCATAACGCACCTCCGCACTCTTGACACTCGCTACCGCGCTGCGCTACCTGCTGAGTTCTGCGCCAAGAACCCCCCCCCCATGTACATCACCCTCTACTACATAGTCACCCGGCTCCCTGACTCTCTTCGCGTAGTCAGGGACCACTTCCTCTCTGTTTGCCCCACCACTCTCAGCGTTGACCTCCTCGAGAAGGCCCTCCTAGCGATAGAGAAGAGCATAGTCACTGTAGGAGCCTCTCGTGGTGATCCTCGCACCCCCGTCTTTGAGGGGTGTTCTCCCTCCCCCCTCTTGCCCTCTGTTGCCTCTGCTGCTACGGCCGAACTCGTTGGTTTCGAGCCGGTCGGCGCTGTGTCTGCCCCAAGCGGGAGACGCCGCACAGGCAAGGCTAGGGGGGCAAGGGCGCTGGAGGGGGTGGAGGGGGCGGTGGAGGTGGTGGTGGAGGCAGTGGAGGGATTGGGGGTGGTGGTGGGAGTGGTGCCAGGGGAGGTGGCGGCGGCGGCAGCGGTGGAGGTGGCGGGGGCGGTGGAGGTGGCGGAGGGAGCGAAGGCGGCGGAGGTAGTGCACGCGACGGAGGTGGAGGAGATAGCAGAGGCGGCGAAGGCGGCGGCGGAGGCGGAGGCGGCGGTGGTGGAGCGAGTCGCGACTCTGCGCCGAGGAGTGGCTCCGGTGGTGGTCAGCGCGAGCAGCAGCAGCGGAGTGGTGTGACCATGTCCCCTCAACAGCTTCGTGAGTGGTACACTGCGCGCCAACGCGGTGGGGGTTTTGGTCCCTGCTCTTACGTTCTCCGTACCGGCGACCGCACAGGTGAGCAGTGCGGAGGTCCACACTCCACCCAGCGATGCTTTGGTCGCCTGACAGGATCGTGGCGTTGCCAGTTCTCTGAGGGGTCAGAGACCCCTCGCTGGGGAGATCTAACGAAGGCCAGGGCTCCTATCTTTGATCTTGACTTTGATGTTATTCTTGCTGCTATGTATGTTGTTGCTGATAGTGTTGAGGGTGCCTGTTACCTGTGTGTACCGCATGACCCGGGCGTTGAGGCTGCTGCGCTAGGTGCTGGTGAGGCTACTGCTCTAGGTGCTAGTGAGTCTGCCGCCCCAGGTGCTGGTGAGTCTGCTGTCTCAGGTACTACTTCGGCTCAGGCCTTCCACACCTTCACCCTGGACTCGGGTGCGTCCCGCTCCTTCTTCTGAGACCGCACCACTCTTACGCTGCTTAGTCGGCCGGTTGCAGTCTCCCTGGCACACCCCTCTGGGGGTCGTGTCCTTGCTAGCTTCTCCACTGTCCTTCCGTGCCCTGCAGCCCCCTCTAGAACCCTGTTTTGTCTGTACCTCCCCTTGTTCTCTACGAACTAGGTGAGTGGAGCGGACGTACAGGATCGAGGGGTTGACCAGTTCACTCCTGCTAGTCAGCGCGATGATTGAACTCTGAAAGAGTTCGGTACAAGTACTAATCCTAATTGGGTTGTACCCCTTATGGGCTACCCCACTATAGCCTACACAAATGTATAAGCTATAATGTTCTGACAAACCCCCATAGGCAAAGTGGGGGAGAACAAGTGGTCACAACACCAGTCAAGCAAAGCAAAGTAAGCTCAGGGTGGATCACAAAGTCACCACAGTGTCCGAACACAAGAGTAAGGTCCCAAGGCTAGTTCAGATGCATGATCATATATACAAAGGTAAACAAGAAAGTGCAAGTATAGAAAGAGTACAGTACAAACAAGATCAAAAAGTGAGCAAGTGAGGCCAAGTAGGCACAAGACCTAGCAAAGTAGAGAAGCGCTGATGATCACGAGGCGGAAGGGCCTTGGTGAAGATATCAGCAGTGTTGGCCTCAGAGGTCACGTAGGTGAGACGGAGCAGACCACGCTGCTATAGCTCACGAGCCAAGAAGTAGCGGAGAGCAATGTGCTTCGTTCTGTGCTCCAGTCTGTGCTTCCGACACAAGGCCAGCATGGCCTTGTTGTCTACGTACAGAACTGGAGGAGAACGATGCTACTCTCCTAGGTCAGTCAGCAGGTAGGTGAGCCAGCGTAGCTCCTGTGCAGCCATGGCCCCTGCATAGATCTCAGCCTCACAGCTGGAGCTGAGAGCAAAAGACGAGCGGGTAGACCGCCACGAAAGAGAGCCGGAGCCAAGGCTGAAGGTGTAACCCTGTGACGACCGCTGCAGAGCCTGGTCCTCAGCCCAAGAAGCGTCAACGTGACCTCTGAGGACCACTCGACGTCGCCCTCCAAGCACTAGCCCCATGCCCGACGTACTGAACACGTAGCACAACACCCTCTTCGCTGCAGCCATGTGCTCTGGTTGGTGTCTCCTAGGAGCAACATAGCGTGCCAAGATGCTAAGAGGGTATGCAAGGTCAGGTCGTGTGCAGGTCATCAGGTACATGAGGCAGCCAACAAGCTCTGGGTATGGGCCACTCAACTCTACGGACTCATCCGAAGGTAGAGCTGAGAGCGAGTGGCGACTAGACAGAGGAGTGCCCTGAGGCAAGGAGTACGTGAAGCTGAAGCGCTGAAGGACCTGCTGCACCATGAGTGACTGAGTCAAGGTAATGGTGCGCTGTGCTCTGACCCGGGTGATCTGCAAGCCAAGGTAGCTGCGCAGTTCACCTAGGTTTGTGCACGTGTGTCTCTTCAGCAGCTCAGACTTCATATGGGTGAGTCCAGCAGTATCAGCAGTGGCAAAGACAAAGTCGTTGACGTACACGAGGATGAAGAACGGCGGCAGAGAGGTGTCGGTGTGCAGAAACAGCGACGGGTCGGCTGTGTAAGGAGCAAACCCAAGAGTCGCAAGTGTAGTCCTCAGTGTGTCGTGCCACTCACGGGGCGCCTGGCGGACACCGTAGACTGGCCGCCGGAGGCTCCACAAAGTACCAGAAGGAAACGACCCAGTGAAGCCAGGAGGGCAGGGCAGCCAGATCTCCTCGTGCACGCTGCCCTGAAAGTAGTCAACTCCCTGCCAGTGACTGAAGCCTCGAGCCACGTAACGCGCCTTGAAGACACGCAGAGAACCCGGCGGTCGCTTCACCTTGAAAATCTACATGCCACTGACGATGTTCGCCCCAGGTGGGGGAACCTCGTCGACATAGGTGCCTGTGGACTCCCAGGAAGCCATCTCTGTGTCCATGGCTGAGTGCCACTAAGAGGAGTAGGGACCCTTGATCGCCTCAGCGTACGATCAAGGAGTCGGGATGTCTGGTGCATCCGGGTCTCTCTCAAGGGCGATCAGCGTGGACACGAGATGGGGCAAAGCAGCCGCAAAGCACTGGAACTCCTCCTGCCTGTCCTCAAGGACGTCCGTGCTAAGAGCACACTCACCCCCGACGGACGGAGGACAGACAGACTCAGACTCAGCAACGAGACTGGCAGCGTAGTCTAGACGACAGCGAGCAGCGAAGTCGACAAGCTCAGCAACTAGAGCAGACGCAGCAGTGAACTCAAAGGAAGGGTCAGTGACAATAGTAGCAAGAAGGCGTGTGACCGAAGGAATAGCAGCTCTAAGGGATTCAAACTGCAGGTTGGCAAGAGAAGGAAGAGAGGACTCTAGAGGAGACGGCAACGGGACACGCAGAGGAGCAGTGGAAGGAGGCAGTGCCATCTGGTGTGTGCCGGGGACTGCAGGAGGACGCGGACGCGCAGCACGACCACTAGTGCAAGCAGCACGAACAGGCAACGCAAGATGAGACGCAGGCACACGACACTCGGCAAGACCTCCAGTACGACCAGTGTAGGGAGAAGGAGCAGGTAGAGGGCAGTCGGGCTGTAACTATGACTGCGACTGGAAAGGTTGTGGACACTCTAAAGGAGGAGCAGGACCAGGAGAGGGCGGGAGACCAAGAACCTCCTCCAGAAGCGGAGCGAAGAATGGCCTTAGCCGCGCAGCGCCTCAAGAACGAGCAAGGACGGCACCAGTACCCCCAGCGGCAGCACCAGCGCCAGCAGCACCAACTTCAGCACCCTCAGAAGCACCAGCGCCAGCAGCACCGCAAGCGCCAACACCCCCAGTAGCTCCAGCTCCAACAACTCCAACTCCAGGAGGACCGTCAGCACCAGCAGCCTCAGCAGCACCCCCAGACGCACCAACACCAGTAGAAACACCAGCGCCAACATCCCCAGCAGCTCCACCTCCAGCAGCACAAGCACCGCCAGTAGCTCCAGCAGGACCAACTCCAGTAGCTCCAGCAGCACCCCCAGTCTCAGCAGCACGTCCCCAGCGGCGGGCAAACCACTCGCGCAGCTATTGTGGAGAGAGCGGCTCCCGCCTCGAGGAAGCACCGCCAGTGGCCACACGAGCAGACCCAGCACCCCCAGGCTCCGCACCCCTAGGCTCCGCGGTGTCGCCCCTCGACGCAGGGGACGCAGGTAGGGCCAGGCCCCGGAGGAAGGGGAGGGAGAGACAGAGGGGTGCTAGAGGGGGCTGCCAGGTACGGTAGGACAGTGGAGAAGCTAGCAAGGAGAGGACCCCCAGAGGGGTTTGCAAGGGAGACTGCAACTGGCCGACTGAGCGGCGTAAGAGTAGTGCGGTCTCGAAAGAAGGAGCGGGACGCACCCAAGTCCAGGGTGAAGGTGTGTAAGGCCTGAGCCGACATAGTACCTGAGAGAGCAGACTCACCAGCACCTTGGGCAGCAGACGCACTGGCACCTAGGGCAGCAGACGCACTAGCACCTAGAGCAGCAGCCTCACCATCACCTTGAGCAGCGGCCTCAATGCCAGGGTCAGGCGGTACGCAAAGGTAACAGGCACCCTCAAGACTTATATCAACAGCATACATGGCAGCAAGAATAGCATCAAAGTCAAGATCAAAGATAGCAACCCTGGCCTTAGATAGATCTCCCCAGCGAGGGATGTCTAACGCCTCAGGGAACAGGCGACGCCACGCGTCCGTTAGGCAACTAAAGCAGCGCTGGGTGGAGTGCGGGCCTCCGCACTACTCACCAGCGCGGTCGCCGGTACGGAGGATGTAAGCGTAGGGAACAAAACCCCCACCGCGCTGACGCGCAGTGTACCACTCACGAAGCTGCTGAGACAGGGTCACGCCACTCCGCTGCTACTGGCGTGGACCACCACCTGAGCCACTCCCTGCGCAAAGTCGCGACCCGCTCCACTACCGCCGCCGCTGCCGCCACCGTCGCCTTTGCCGCCTCCTCCACCTCTGCCACCTCCGCCGCCTCCGCTCCCTCCGCCACCTCCACCGCCTCCGCCTCCTCCACTCTTGCCGCCGCCGCCACCCCCGGCACCACTCCCACCACCACCCCCACTCCCTCCACTGCCTCCATCACCACCTCCACCGCCCCCTCCAGCCCCTCCAGCGCCCTTGCCCCCCTTGCCCTTGCCGGTGCGGCGTCTCCCGCTCGGGGTAGACGCAGCGCCGACCGACTCGAAACCAACGAGGTCGGCTGCAGCAGTAGAGGCAATAGAGGGCAAGAGGGGGGAGGGAGAAAACCCCTCAAAGACGGGGGTGCGAGAGTCACCACGAGAGGCCCCTATAGCGACTATGCTCTTCTCTATCGCTAGGAGGGCCTTCTCGAGGAGGTCAACGGTGAGAGTGGTGGGGCAAACTGAGAGGAAGTGGTCCCTCACTACGCGGAGAGAGTCAGGGAGCCGGGTGACTATGTAGTAGAGGGTGATGTACATGGGGCGGGGGTTCTTGGCGCAGAACTCAGCAGGAAGCGCAGCGCGGTAGCGAGTGTCACTAGTGCGGGGGTGCATAATGAGGTCAGCGACTGTGGGAAAGGCAGCAAGGTCAGGGAAGAGGTACGGTAACATGAGGCGGCTCAGTGCAGTAGTGGCAGGGAAAGAGTAGCATGCAACTACAGCGTCGTACAAGGTCTGAGCACTCTTGTACGGGCTAAAGTATACACGCTCAGTGGTCGGTACGTGGCGGCGAACAGCAAGGCGAGCAACAGCATTGCGCGTGGCCCACTCTGAGCAAACAGTGGCGTCAGCATTTGCAACAGGGGAAGGAGAGGCACCAGAAGTGAGGTCTGAGAAAACTAAAACGAGAATGAGTGCACTAAGGAATGGAATGTGGTACAAATATGCAACCCTAGAAATGTGTACCCCATATAGGCTACCCCACTACAGCCTACACAACATTATGATTTGACACACCCCCATAGGCAAATAGGGGGAGAACAAGGGGTCACAAGACCAGTCAAGCAAAGCAAAGCTCAGGGTGGATCACA